GTGGGATCCGAACCCTCGGTGGGAGCGCTGCCGCGCTTCCCAAGCGGCGCACTGTAGCAGTGTGCCACCGGGCCGGCCCCTGTAAATGTAACCTTAATCAATAGGAAATATATGTACTACTATAAGAATAAGCAGAGGGGATAATTTTTAGGTTGCTACTTCAGTAGGCAACATTCAGTCCATATAAGTCTAGAGAAATATAAATCTAAACTTATCACTAAAATTTTGAAAATGGGGAATCCAAGTAGAGAGTTTTAGAGTCATGTACTATGATTTTAATCTGTGTTATACCAAATACAGCATTCCAAAATATACATCTAGAAAGACTAAAAGTAAATGCTCCACAGTAAAGAAGTAATAATAAAAAATGATACTGATATGGAATATTTATAATCAGAAAAATAAATACTCAGGGAGCTCACCAGAAGAATAAAGTGCTCAGCCAGTTATTAAAAGATTACTGCTGGTGCATTAGATACGGCATTTCCCACTGGAAAATGCAGACTTTCTTCTGGGTTATGTTCAATATTTATTTCACAGGATTAACTGTTTTAGGCACAAATATGAAGCTTTGCCACAGAAGAGACGGACAAAGCACAAAGACAAAATGATAAATTAGGAAGTAACATTACCCTTTCAGGGATAAAACCTGAAGAAATATAGCATTATGCTTCATGAATAATATGTAGAAAGAACAGTCTAATAAAAAAATGATATCCTTTATGTAAGATAACTTTATAGGAAAAATTCGGGTAAATTAAATTCTTCAAAGAAAATACCCAAATGCTACTGATTTATCAAATGCTATCTTGGCATATAATTTATAAAGGCAAAACTAATCAAAAAAGTCTCTACCACACCAAAACAAAACCACCAACTTACTTTGTACTGCATAACACAAAAGACTGATGTTAAGATAATGATAACGCATATTAGCCAGCAAGTCCTCTATAGGTGGTTTCAGCAGCGAGGAGATAAAATGCACAAGTCAGTTCCAGCACTATTTCAAAAGAAACTTCCCGCCTCCCTACAAGATGCAGAGGAGGTAGTTTGGAGTTGTTACTGGATAAGCATTCAGTTTGCTACTTTGTGTCACCCCTTCCCATTTCTTATCCCCAGTTAATTTTTATCTGCATATAATTCTGTTAGACCATAAATTAATAGCTTTCAGGACAGATGCCTTAAAAGTTCTTAGGGAGGTTAAGCAAATATTGTAGACTAAAACCTCTTCTATAACAAACATGCACACAATGTAAGTGAAGTCGTTAGTGAGTGATGGGGCAGGAAGGACTTAGGACTCTGTCTCAACTTTAAAAGCAAGTTGCCCCAAACAAATGTAAATTGTAACTTAGTGGGATCAAGGGATTTCATCCATTCTAGAAAAAAAGAGAAAAACTATCAAATGCCATAATCTGTTTCTCACTGGGCAAATATCAACAGGATCCACAGTTTTACCCTAATTGTTTCTCTGTCTCCATGTGGCATTTAAATAGTTCTTTCCCCAAATGAGGAAAACAAATCTCAGTAATTAATCCTAAAGAATATGAGTAATTAATCATATTCTCCTCCTATCCTACATCAAACCTTGGTGAATAAAAGCTTTCCAACTTTGTGATCACATTTGGAAGTGGTTTACTTACTGAGAGAAAATCACACACACACACACACACACACACACACACACACACACACACACACACACCACACACACACACACACACACACACACACACATATCTAGATTTTATCACATCCTCAAGTTAATCTATTATTTTTCTAATGTAGAATTAAAGAAAAATATTATTCTGCAAAAAGAGCTCTCAAATCTTCATCAGTCAGTGGTACAACTCTGAAACTGATCTAATTGTTTCATTATCTGAAAGCGGGGGATTTTAAAATTTTTATTTTAGGTACCATCTTTTGATTTGCCATAATTCCCAACCACCTTCTTTTCTATTTATTATCTTTAAAGAGAGAGAAAACTGTCAGAGCCCAAAGTTATTTAATTAACTTTTCACCTCAGCAGAAGGAAAGGAAAAAATGGAGTTTGACTAGTACAGCTGATGAAGCTTAAGAGTCACATTTTAATACAAGGTCAAATTTTGAGATTTATATGCTACATGGTAGGCTTTTGGGGAGGGGGAGGAGATGAGAAAAAATATAACATCTCTTATTGGAAAGATACATTTTGATCAAAAACCTCATTGCCCCTTCATACTGGAATGATCAACTGTAAGACCAAATAAAGTACATACAGTTTTTAAACACTGACACCTTCTACAAATAAAATTATCTGTTTAAACTCCTATTTACTGTTTTAAAAATAAACACCAGTTTTTCTTAAAAAATACAATAATTCTCTTATTGATAAAGTTTAAAGCATTTTCATTGCCTTTTGCAGATTTACTCATAACTACCTAACAAGGAAAGAAAGTATAATTATTTCAGTATAGAGGTTGAAGTTTTTATTCTAAAAGTTGATTCTTTGCTAATGTATTCTAAGATGAATTTAATAGTCAACCAGGAAATTGGTTTTTATAAATGTTATTTTATGGGCATAAAATACAGGAAAAAGTAATAATAAATGCCAAACTGTCTCTTTACTTTACGAAGCCAAATATTTCCTCATAGACTTGGTTTTTAAAGCTGGAATTTATTCCTTCAGGTTTTTATAAATGTTATTTTATGGGCATAAAATACAGGAAAAAGTAATAATAAATGCCAAACTCTCTCTTTACTTTACGAAGCCAAATATTTCCTCATAGACTTGGTTTTTAAAGCTGGAATTTATTCCTTCAGGGACACTATTATTTTTCAAAACTCCATATAAATATTAAATCTAAAAATTAATTGGTAATTTAAATTCTTTTCTTTCTCTTCAAATTTCTTCCCTTCCCCTTAACTGCTGACTTTCAAAAATTCACAGAATGAGCATGTTTCTTGCAAAGTGGCTTGTCCTTCTTGGAGAAAAAGGTCTGACCTTCCAAACTTTCACAACACACCTGAAAAAGAAGCATTATTTAAAAGAATATCATTATTTTATCAAGTATGCCAGAGAAGGGGAAAGTGATTTAATAGATAATATGACAAAGTACTTTACTTGGTTGTGTTAGACACCCTGACATTTCGCCATCACTATAACATTTCATATAATCTTTCAAAAGCAATGAAGAATGACTTTTTCCTGGAATGTATTCTAACTTATTTAAATCACTGATCATTACTTTTATTGAGAGGAAGCACTTAGTCCTAATGAAAATTTTATTACAAAAAAGAGGCCATGCTAAATGTACTTTCTCTCTCCAAATTTTAATCAATGCTTTAATTTTGCTTCTTGGTGTGGGGAACCAAAGCATTCAAAAAGAAAACACAATTATTTTATCATACATTCCCAAAGCCCAATGTTAGTTCGCCAACAAATACACAGGCATTCACCCAAGACTTCTTTTTAATTCATTTCTTTGTTTCTTAAAATGAAAATCCTGGTCAACTTCTGGCTGGCTGATGATTGTAAAGTCGTTAACCATCCACATTACTGTCTTCTTATCTTTCCTACTGCCTTTGTTAATTACAATGCTTATGAGCAGTTCTACCAGAGGCCAGACTGCAAATCTGCTAAAAGTTGTTGCTTTTTATAGACTTTATGTAGTCTAAGAGAGGAAAGGTAAACGAGAAGGGTTCAGTGGTAATGTTTGGGGAAATCATTTGACTTCGCTTTAACATTACTTTTCCCCATCATACAGTGGGTATTAAAAACTGTTAATATATTAAATCTAAGTTATAAAAAAATTAACATGTGAACAGAGCACCTTTACTGCATATTTACTCTCAAAATCCAAAAAAAAGAAATCTTAGGTTAATGTTAATCTCTGAATCCACCCTAATCATTAAAAATAAAACCAAAAATATTAAAATATCAAGTTAAATAGGCAAATATTTTATTGCATGTTTATTATAGTCTCAAAAAGAAAAGAATATTCATGGGCTATTGCTAAGAAAGGAAATGAATCAACATATAGTTCCCAGTGTTCATTCAATAATAGGTTTTTACAATTGTTTATTTCTATTTTAAGAAGTACTTAATATTTCCAAAAACTATTAAAAACACTCTAATAATATAGAGTTTTTAAGAAAAGTAAAAAACTCTTTTAAGAAATATATAGCTTCCCCACTTATAGACAAAAATATATTAAAACAGTGTTTTCTATATGGGGTAACAATCTTATTGTGTGTCAAATAATTTCAAAGGTGCCAAAAATTTTAATAAACAACTTTCAAAATCACTGTAAAAATATTTTCTCTTTAGGTTTGAAGGACTAAAAGATATGAACTGTTATTTCCAGTCAATACTTAGGCTAGACCTGGCTGTACTATACTCCTTTAATTAGGAAGTAAGAGTTTACTTACTGAGCATACAAAGCAAGTGTCATGCCAGGTAGAGCCGAGAGCTTCCAGGAACATGTCTCCAGCTTCTATGGGAAATTCACATCCATGGCAAATAGTACCAAAGAGGGCATAATAATCTGTATTGGGACATGGGGGAGAGACAAAATTTAAACATAATGAAGCTTCAGAATGATAATTCCTAGAAAGCAACAACAAAATCGGGATTAAATAAGATGATGAAGATAAAGATACTAGTAATTAAAATTTTCAGGAGGTGGCATAATATTTGGCTTGAGATATATGTTTAGCATGTTTCAGGTTTCCCTTGGTAAACATTATTTACACAACTTAACATTCTCTATTATATTTTTTCATGTAATACTTCTCACTTCTCTTCACTTAATTGCCCAAATACGTGTAAAGAACACTGTTCTCTGACCAGTTACCAGCAGATATGACTGTTTCAAAGAAATATAGGAGGACTTCCAATAACTTGCAACAATCAGATTAATAAATATAAACCAAAAACAAATGTCTGATATTGACAAATTTCATAGTGCATTTGACTTGGTTAAGGGAGAAAAATAAAAGTTACAGGAAACTTCCATGAATAAGTGCCACGACTGCGATTCTAGCTGGACTGCATCACAACAATATCAGCCATAATTTCTTTTGCTATATTTTTTCTTTCAATTTTATGACTTCATGTTGAAAATCCCTAGCCAGAGAATACCATTTACTTGACACAAATTACAGTTATACAGGATTTCCTTCTGAAAAAAGCAGTTTTGACAAGATGTTTCTCTGTTACTAAATGAGAATCTATTGGCATTTTTTTCCTTTTATGCAGCTACTGTCACAACTGTGTCGATTCATGGTTCACCCTTTGGCCAACCCAACCTGGGCTGGAGGAGAAAGTAGGCTATAATTTACAACTTCTTCACATTTCTTAGCAATCTTCAATCTTTAATAGTTCTTAGCACTATTTGCTCAACATACATCAATAGTGTCCTGTTGTGTGCCAGGCATTGTTCTAGTCATTGCAGGGGTATAGTGGTGAACATGACAGATGTGATTGCTTTTCTCATGGGGCTTATATTCTCACTGGGAGCAGAATCTCATCATTGATTAAAGTTTAAAAGTATATGATAGAAAATTGTTTCAGGTTGTGATAAGTGACAAGAAGGAAAGAAAATAGTGATATTAATATAGAATAATTGGGGGGGGGTATTACATTATATAGGAGAGTTAGGAAAGGCATCTCTGAGGAGGTAATAATTCTGATGAGACTGGAAGAATAAAGAAGAATCACCACAGAGAAGCTGAAGAATAACATTCCAGTTAGAAGATGTAATAAGCACAAAAGTCCTGAGATAGGAAGGATCTCAGCATGCTGCTAAGAAACAGCAAAGGTGCTGGGTATGGCTAGAATCCAGTGACAGAAGGTAAGGTGGGAGGAGATAAGGCTGGCAAAGCAAGCTCTAGTGAGGAGTAGAGTTTTTATTCTAGTGGAAGCCACTGAAGGGTTTTAAAGACAATCTGATTCACATTTTAAAAAGTATTATTGTAGGTTCTTTGTAGCTGCTATTTGGGGGTTGTTGGGGAGGAGATACACCATTTAGGTGGCAATTATAATATCCAGGCAAAGGGTGCAAGCAAGTTAAATTTAGTGCTGACAGTTGAGATGAAGAGAAATGAATGAATACAATATACACTGGGAGCAGAACTGCCAGGATTTACTAGTTAGTTTGGGTATGGGAATAAACAGAATCCAAAATGACCCCTGGGGTTTTAGATAGTGAACAGTAGGGTTATTTATTGAGATGGAGAAGACTGGGTTAAGAAATGGTTTGGGAAGTTAAAGAAAAAGAAAGAACAAAATTAGACCAAATTGATTAGAAGCAACATTTAAATATTCAATAACATTTTTCCCTTTCTATAAGCAATTCTTTGGGTTTTAAAAATACGACTTCTTCGAATACATTAAATATGATGTTAAGGCTAGCTGGTTTTATATGTGTTTTGGCTAAATAGAGACTATCAGCCAGTTAGTCGAAATGTCTTGCAAAGCTTCTAAAATCAACCAAACAAACAAAAAACAAACAGCTGTTTCTTCAGAAAAATTAAGTAAAATTACAAAATGTGAAATATTCTGGTTGAATCAGGGCAGGCAGCCAGCTTGTAGCCAACCTGTCACACAATGGCCCATGGGGCATATACTTCAGTGGAATTTCTGGGGTTTCTCGCTGTGAAATAGATCCAGGTTGGTCCTAATAAAGGAGCCGAAAGAAAGGTGAAAAGAAAAGTAAGGGAATAGCAAATGGGGAACGAAGGGATGGATAGTGCTGACATAGCTTCAACTTAGAAGCTGACTGTTCCTTTGACTTCTCTGGAATATTCCCTTCTCTCAGCACCACACTTTGAATTTAACAATAAAACTCAATAGTGGGAATGTAGTATTAGTGAATGGAGGCATGATAAGGGGAAAATATTTTATGTTTCGAAACATGCATTTGTGATAATATCTAAGTAAGGGCAATATTAGTAAATAAGTGTTATGAAAGTTCACTTATAGACTTTGGGAAGGAAAAGTATGTGTTCAGAGTTCAGGTAGTAAGACAAATGTAGTAGGACAGGTCCTTAGGGCTTAGTTTATTAAAAATCATTTTACCAAGGGAGCAATCCAAGCCAGGATTACTCTCCCATTCGGTAAAAGTAACAAATGATTTCAAGTTTATTTTCAAGTCAGTTGCCTTGAAGAACAAATCAATATCATATTCTAAAGTTGAACATTTCTCATGTTTATAACCACTCAAAATTCACTACTGGATTTTAAGAGGTAACTTTAAGCTACACACTTTGGTAAAGTTTATATCCATAAAATATTAGAGATTCAAGAAAAATATTTTTCCCACTACGTAATGCTAATGTTCTTAAATCTTATAACAAAGTTGGCAATATCTGTGCTGACAAAGTTACACAGAAAGTTTAAATAATTTTTTCCTATATGTTTAGAGTTATATTAGATGCCCCCCAAAACAATTATGAAAACTGCTTTGCCTAATATTTTCTTTCAACTTTATAGCAATATAAGGGTTGACGTTTTACCATATCCAAAACTCAAGAAACTAATGGCTTCATGATCTTACCGGTCTCACAGTAGGGTTCACCATCCTCTAGGTGAAAAACATTATTACGAATGGGATTGCCACAGGCCACACACACAAAGCAGGAAACATGCCAAGTTTGTTTCAAAGCATTGATGACTTCCTGTTACAGAAAGGTAATTGGATGTAAAGAGAGATGACAATAAATACACAAATGCTTATTCTAACAGCTATACCAGTACAGACCTGTAGAGCTAACCCTTTAGAGACACACATGCTTCCTCTCTGTCTTGAGCTTTTCATCTAAGTAACAGGAGATACTTAACAACAGACTCACAAACCATCTAAACTGATGCACTATCATATGTGTGTTTTTCACAAATACAAATCAATAAACTTATTTAAAGAATGATTTCTATTTTATTTAAAAATTATAAATATGGTGAATAAAGAAAGCATTTCATAAGTTCTTGCAAGAATACATTCTGCTTTTTCTCAAAGGATGTCAGAAAAGATTAATTTCCAAAAGTTTCACACTATTATCTAGAAATGTCATGGAGGAAGGGGGAAGCATTTAAAAACTAAAACAAACCTATACTTTGGTGCATTATGGAAGCAATAATGAAATCAGTGTAATCCAATCAGTTTAACATGTTTGGGCTTTTGGAAATCAGCTGTGACTGCACTGAGCACACACTCAAATGAGTGTCTAAAATTTGAACCATAAAGCATGGATTCTAGTCAACAATGGCCCTATGGTTAAATATACCAAGTATTAAAGATTGGGCCAGATTTTAATGAGCAAAAGAGGTTTTAAGAAGTTGGCTTTACGAGGAATCATTTTTGAATAGTTAATACCATGTAAATGTACTGTTTCCATAATTCTCACACAAAAAAAGAGGATGTTACACATAAAGTATGATGACAACTTCATAAGTGAATTACTTATTCACTTACAAAGTGAAACTGGAAGACAATACACATAAGGTTAACCAGTAATTATCTGTGACTGGTCATTTTAATTTTATTCTTTACATTCTTTGTATTTCCTAATTGTTCTACAGAGAAATATTTTCTTTAATAAAACATTTTCAAAATAAAAGAAAATGATGAGAATAAATTATTAGCCATAGAAAATTCCATAGTTCATGGGCTGGCCCGGTGGCGTACTGCTATAGTGCGCCGCTTGGGAAGCGCGGCAGGCGCTACCACCGAGGGTTTGGATCCCACATACAGACTGGTTCCCGCTCACTGGCTGAGCGAGGCGCGGGAGCAACACCGAGGGTTGTGATCCCATTGCCGGTCCTGGTCCGGTATGGGGGCGACACTGAGGGTTGCGATCCGTTGCCGGACACGGAAAAAGACAAAAAGGAAAAAAAAAAAAAAAAAGAAAATTCCATAGTTCATTACTGAGGACAAAGGGAAGAAATGGCAGATGATTGGATCCGAAACATCACCACGAACTTTTATAACAAATGTACACTGAACCAAATAATTCCTAAGGCTTCTGCAATATACTTCCCTTTCCATGCATGAGACAGATTACGTTACTGCTTTAACAGGTAATCAAACAACTAAAACACAATCCAGAGAATCTATTCCTTTAGTGAAGTTCTGACCCATCTTTGAAGCAAAGAGTATATTACATTTCCTAGAACCTTATTTGGTTCTAAGACACTTACTTGACTTTGCTTTATTATTCTAGAGTCCATAGAACACATTTATACACTAAAACAGTATTAATGTATGAGTATATTCACTTAATTATTTGTCATCATTTAAAAGGTACAGGCTGAACTATTCTACTCCTTTTTTCCCAACATACTAAATTAATAACAGAAATATTTCAGATGGTATATTCATAATTTTAAGTGTCCTCAAAGTTCATTTAAAGATGTAACCTAAAATTAAGACTGACTACTCAATAATTCACAATAACTTTTCTCTCAATTAATATGAATTAGTTTCATTATTATATTTTCATATTGAGAGTACTGAAATTCAGCAGGACCACTTCCAACTTTGGTATGAGGCCAGGCACCTTGGCTTCTTTTAAAATCAAATTGTAGCTCTTGGTCACTCGTAAGAAATGCCAACCCTTACTTTATAATTGCAAACTAGGTATTCTAGAGCAGGAAATTCATTTATTTGCCATTATTTACTATGTATCTGATTCCTAAATTACTCTTTTTGCAAAAAAAAAAAAAAAAGTGTGGCTTAAAATTATTTTCCCATCACATGTGTACTCCCATAAAACTGAGGTTATATTTTTAAACATTATATACATTTAAGAAAAACATCATTTATAAGCCTCATGTTTTATATATTTCATGAAATCATTGTCCTGTGCCTGAACCCTGACAAGTGGGGAAATGCTGCTCTTATAAAAGCTATGGAATTTAATTTAAAACAGTGAAGGTGTCAGCTCTGAGAACTCTGATGTGTGTGGTCCTGTGCGACCTCTCCATTCGTGAGCAAACAGGGTCCTGTTGAGGTAGCACATCCACAGTAAATTATTTTTTCCCCACAGTGGCTAAACTTTCACCAGACAAGCCAGAACTCAGTGAGACAAAACCAAAGACAACTGAACCCCATGAGTCCGATATACTTCTACAAAGTACTATTTAGTCCTGCTTTACAAAAATAGTGATGAAAGCAGAGAGGGGATAAAGCAAGAAGAAAATAAAAAGTAAAAATGATGGAAGAGTTTCATAGCAAAAATTTATTCTGCTTTAAAACTAAGAATAAACAAGTTTCCAATACTTACTCCAAGGATCTTCTTTTGGCATCGACCACATTCAGGAGCAAAGAATTTCTCATAGCACAGCTCACAATATAGGTCTCCCTTCTCCTCTACAAATCCAATGTAGGCCATTGTATTTTTGCAGTGAGCACAGTTAAATTCTTCTGGGTGCCAAGATTTCCCCAGTGCCACTAGAAATGGTCCCCTGCCAGAAGAAACAAGATCAACTTGTCTCAAAAATAAAAATTTCTAAGGTTAGCCTGGATAAGACCTCTTTTTTAATGGCCAATTAAATACTTGCTCAATTTTCCTTCTCAAGGACTGAACACATGGATGTTGTAAATTTACATAGGGACTCTCTGTGCACATATGTGAAGATAAAAGGGGAGAAGAATAAGAGTACTTAAGGAATTACTTCAAGAAAGGCTACCCCCCGCCTCACTTTTTCTGTCTTTAGGGGACTTGGTGGTATGTTTTATTGAGCTGCAATGAGTCAGTCTGTCTGCATCATGATTAGGAATGAGAATGAGGATGTTAACTGTGACAGAACATAAAGCAATCAGAAAAAAATATATGACTTAGGCAGAAATGAGAGTTTGACATTTCTGTAAAATAAACAAAAGAAAAATCTCAATTTGGTAACATCAAAGTCTTAAAAATGGTAATAATTATTACCTGAGGAAATAGTCAATTTCTCTTCCCTACATGTTGTTTCATATACTTATTTCTCAACTTTATTAAACTCATCAAATCCTTACCCTCCAAAATGACTACAGAAACTGTCAGCTGGATATTACGGATTGTTTTAAGGTACTTGGAAAGGTTTTGTTTAATTCAAATATGACTGATTTTTTTAAAAATTTTATTTTATTGTGGTAAGAATACTTAACATAGATCTACTCAACAGATTTTTAAGTATACAACACATTATTGTTAACTGTAGGTACAATGTTACACAGGGATCTCTAAAACTTACTCATCTTGCATAACTGAAATTTTATACCTGCTGTTTAGCAACTTCCCCCTACTCCCTTCCCAAATATGACTCATTTTTAATGCACATTTGTATCAAGGTAAAAAATGTTTGCAAAGGGATTTTTTCCCATTAAATACTATACAGCCATGAACTGATAAGATGGGCTTGGTTTGCTTGACAGGAATCCATTATGAAGCCTTATCTACTCATGAGGACTGCAGAGACTAACCATTCGAGCTTCTGCAACATACTTTTCAGTAACTACATCACACTAATTTTTATTCATAGAGTGACTTTACCTCCAAGGCACTTTTATAGTTATCTAATTTGTCCATGCAACATTCCTGTGAGACAGACCAGGGCAGTTATTACGTATTCAGTTTAACAGATGAAGAAACTGAGATATAGAATGTTCAAAAGATATGACAAATATCATAAAATCACTGGCTGAGCCAAGGCCAGAAACTGAATTTCCTGATTTCTAGTATACTGTTCTAGTCAACTGATATTCTGCCTCTGACCTCATTACCATCAATCATCATCACTGAGTGACCACATGGTAATCGTTTAGTAAGCACTGTTCTAGGCAGATTATTAATAGGAAAAGTCATAGCAATGAGCATCACGAATTCACAGCATTTTTAAACCTTTGACAATAACATAAACCTTGTTCTTCAATAAATATCTCCCACTGTAAATTCTTCGCAAACATATTGATGTTTACTCAGAAACAGCACCCAGCTCTGCAAGAGTCAGGAAAGGAAAAAGGCTCTTGATAAATGTTTAAATTTTTTTATATGGAGTATAAGAGGGTATTTTCCAGCCCCTCTTTTTGTTAACTTGGTTCTTATTAATAATATGCCATTTTGTATAAGCTAGTGCATACAGCTCTCTTCTGTTTGAGATAAGTAGTTTATTACTACTATTTTTAAAACTTTAGGGTACTATAGTTTTGCTATGACTAACAAGGAATGCCTTTGTGAACTAATTTCTGCCAGAAAGGAAAAGGGCTACTATTCTGTAATCAAATATATTACTTTTGGTATGTTGTCCCTTAATTTTTATCAGTGCTCCAAATATTTAACAAAGTTTGTCTGAGAAAAAAAAAAAACAAAAAAAAAACCCACACACACACACATTCAAGAATAATTGACTAAGGAACATACAATCCATTTCACAGATTTTTCTAAAATACAGTATGTGTTGCAACCAAGTTAGACCAGCAAAAAATTGGATTCTACTAGTCTCTGCATATTGGGCCTGACCCACCTTACAGAATTATTCCACAGTGACCCACCTCACTGTTCCTCTCATGAATAGTGCTTGATGTGACACATCAGCCTGTACTGACAATTTTATAGGAAATAGCCTTTGAAATTTACCATTGCTATTCCTGCAAGTTGCTGTTCACAGTGTTGTTTGTTAGACCATACAGGGTTATTTTCACATGAACTCCTTCAAAAAATTACTATCAGATTCTTATAACAAACAGTTTTGCTTCTCCTAAGCAATAGTTTTATTTTTATCTTATTGTACAGTAAATTGAAAAACTAGTTTTCTTTTTTGGTATGCCACTAGAAGGCTTAAAGCCAAATTTATAAGTCTAACCACAGGCAAGTATGTAGGTCATTTTTGTAGGTATTGTCCAGTCTCAATGCTAGCTTCATTTTTAATGGCTTCATCCATGAATTTCATTCTTTTTCCCCCTTTTTGTAATTTAGAAGGTTATGTTACATTTCATGTATTCTTAAAAGTTTAAAAAAAAAAAACTTCTGGGATAAAGCTCACTATAAATAATAAACTAAAACTATTTGTCCATTAAAAGGATAACTTTAAAATATATCATTAGTTCCTCTCAAATCTTAATAGTGAAAGGGATTTTAGAAAGTAAAGAAATGCCCTCTTTAAATAGTGAAAGGAATTTGACAGTAAAGAAATTCTCTCTTTAAAATAAATGAGTGTTTTCAGCTTTTACTCTCACCAGAGTTCCTTTCTTAAACAAGGACTCTCGGGGCAAATTCTGGCCTACTCTGATACTCCTCAGCTGCACTGAAAGGGCATCTTTCTCCATCGATACCCTTGAAATTATGTAAGATTAAAAACAATAAAATCTCTTAAACATAACAAAGTACTCTCTTCTCTGTGTCAGTGAAGACTAATGTGACAAATTCATTAACACAGGATTAACACTAAAGAAGTTCTTCCTGTTCCAGATAGGATTGGGTTTCCATTTGTGAACTGGAAGGACAAGCTAGGATAACTGCAAAGTGGAATCAAGTATTCAGCTACCTCTTAATGTACTCCATGCCCTGTGAGCCCTTACTAAATACATGTTGACTGACAAATGAAGGGAGGGGAGAGAGTTAAAGCATTAGATTGCCGGACAGAGAAAAGCTATAGCATGAAACAGGTATTTTTATCCTGTTTATCTTCTGTGAGACTTATGCCAAAGGGGGGGGGGGGGAATGGAAGGAAAGGTAAGGAAGGATGCCAAGGAAAAGTGCAGAGAAAAAGAAAAGCTCACAAATAGAAAGGTGAAAGGAATTAACACACAACCTAACAGGGATTTAGCTTTGAAATCAAATGTTTATTTCTTGTTTCCCTTTGTTATTTTTCTTTCTCACCTCTCTATAAACAAAGATCTCTTTGTTATTTAATGCTCACAATAACCTCAATGATAGAAATTAACTCTATCATATAGATGAAGAGAACATCAGAGAAGTTAGCCAACTTCCCCAAGATCATGTGGATGAAATGTAAAGCCGAAATCTTCCACGGCCCAGCCACTCCAGATTAAAAACTTTATTTGACCAAAAGTTACTGCATCAATGCAAGTTAGAAACAGAAGTTTACATAAAAATAACTCATGTGATCCAGAATAAAACGGAATCTGATATGCCACTTAATTAGATATAATAAATAATACAAATGTATAAACCAGTTATATATTTTTATATTAACTAACTCTTAGGAAGAGTCTGGCATGAGCAAAGAGCCCGGGAACAACACAACCAGAACAGAGTGAAATAGAAAAGGCAATTGGGAGAAATTGCACATACACATATTCACAGGTACCCATACAGACACATGCAGGAAGAGAGTAAAAAAGAATCTAACACACAGTGACTATCTTTCAAGTCTTATAACACTCTAAATTAGAAATATTAACAACCCTTCCTAAAAACTGGAAACACTGCATTTGTCACTCTTAATTTTTCATTTCCAGTAGATTACGCCCAAACTTTCCAATTTAGAATATTAAAAAAAATAGTTCTACTTTCATTGAGTTATCACCTTTAATTTGTAGTCCTTTAAAATATTGCACTTAAAGTGTTGTGACAACTATAGTTTTATATTTTAAAGGCATAAATGACTTGTTCCTCAAGAATAAGTAAACATGTAAAATGAGCTTAATCATAATAGTGAATAAAGAGAACAAATTCTGAAGAAGGTAATATTAATTGATAATTTTTAAAAAATCTACTAGAGACAGTTATAGTCGATTCTTTACTTTATAGTCAAGTTATTATAAAATCAGCAAAGCAGGAGAAATGTGATTCTATAATAAGACAAGTTAAGTAGTGGAATATAATTTCAATTTGGCAAAACTAACAGGCGTCTTTCAAGTATCTTGAAAAAGTTCATTCATCAACTGAAAAAAAATCTACTAAATACAGTATGTGGTAGGAACCATTCTAGGTTCAGAGAACAAAGCCAGAAAAAGCCCTGCCTTCATGGAACTTATATCCTAATGTGGGGAGAGAGACAACAAATGAGATAAATAAAATATACAGCATGTTAGATAGTAAGGGCTGAGGATAAAAATAGAGTAGAGAGGGGAGAGACCAAGACTGTGTATGTGCGGGGTAGGGGTGAAGTGAGAAAATTTAAATAGGTGGCCAGGGGCACCCTTGTATTTGAGCAAAGACATGTAGAAGGAGAAAATGAACTATGCAACTATCTACGGGAAGATAATTCAGGCCAAAGAAAGAACAACAGCAAAAGGCATGAGGAAGAGGTCTGCAGTATTCAAGAAACAGCAAAAAGGCCAGTAAAGAAAACATGAGGGAAATTAGTAAGTAATAACATCAGAGACATAATGAGGTAGGGATGGGATAGGGCTAACTGCATAGAGCCTTTAAGCCATTCTAAGGATTCTTGCTTCTACTAAAATTGGAACCATTACAGGGTTTTGAGCAAAGGAGTAATATAATCTGATTAATGTTTTA